AGGTCAACGTGCACTTTGACCATAAAAATTGGGTCGCGTTCGGGCATGCGACGGGGTTGCGATGGGGGGTTCGCTACGGGTCGCGAATAGTTTTTGTGACGTAGTAATACTTGTAAGGCAGCAATAGCTTCTTATTTTCAAACAAAGTTGATGAAAATGGCTCCTTTCTTACTCTACCAGGGCACTACCTACAAGCTTCAACTTGTAATATTTGTCCCATCCACTTTTTCCAGCCACCTATGTTTCTTCCAAACTATTCCAGCCATGGGTTGAACATAACAAGAAACCATTCCTTGCTGGTGGTAGTCCTCATATCCTCCTTACATTATATTTGGCACAACAGCACCAACCGTGAGGTTGTCATCAATAACTCCCTTTTCAATGAAAGTGCAGTCTGTTGGTTCTGGTTCCTTCTTTGTGAAGAAAAATCAGGAGATGACGGCATAGTAGAAGCCATCTTCAACTTAGAAATATTCCCTTTCCCCATTGGATGGTGTATTATCATGCAAGCCATTTGTCCTGAGATCAAGGAAACACACAACAATGGCTTGGATAATGCTTTTTGTCATACTTGAAAACAGCCTAAGAATTCATCCAAGTACCATTCTTACCCCCCGGTTTGCTGTCTGAAGGAGGGATTGGGCTGGAACAAATGATATTCACTATCATGATATTTGCTGGTGCTGTGGTGATCTGTAAATCCCTACACTTTATTGTTTCTCTCAAAATGGCAGTGCCCATTGGCAGCAATATTCTAGGAAAACACAAGGGGGGGAAGCCTTTCTTCTTCCCCCCTCCTTTCTAACTTCCTCTCATTGTTTTAAACTCGGATCCATTTCAGTTGTTTTGCCTTTGGCCTGTTTGCCCTTCTCTGTTGTGTTGTGTTGTGTTGTGTTGTGTTGTGTTGTGTTGTGTTGTGTTGTGTTGTGTTGTGTTGTGTTGTGGAGCCCAAAGGTACAAGAAGCAGTTTTCAAAATCATGAGTTCTAGCTGTCTCTTCACGCTTTGTTTCACTAGGGTAGATGCATTACATGGTGTCTTTTTGGATGGTGCTTCATTTTCTGTTTTGTGTGAGTCTTACTTGTTGGTGCCAAATCCGAACTATTTGGTGTACTGTACAACCACCCAATATACTTGTGTAAGTGGAAATACAATTGGTATACTACTACTACTGTGGTAGTAAGTCACAAAAAGTGTTTGCTACTAGCATCATGATTGCTGGACATGTTTTTACTTTTCCTTTTGTGTCTGAAACCTATTATTATTTCACTTAGTAGCAGATGTGCTGGATGGTTGCAAGAAATGGTGGTGTTTTTTGAAGCATGACCAGCATACTTCTTTTTATCTTCTACTAGTTCACTGCAAGGTCAAACATAATTTTACTAGTTTTCAAAAAACTTTTGCTGACATCAATTAGACCACTGCCAATCCTTTTGTTGTTGACATTTCAGTTATGATTTGAACAGCCTTTCTTTCTCTTTGCTTTACTGTGCAACTCCTCAGGAGACACCCCCATGATCCTCCCACATAGTGCTACTACTAGTGGTGGTAGTACTGCTGCTGGCACTCTTCATGCATTCACAGATTTGTCTCTTCAACAAGAAAAAAGAGAATGTCATTGATTGCTACTAAGAAGCTTGTTTGTCATTCATACTAGTCGTAGTACTACTAGTACTAGTAGTAGTACTACTAGTACTAGTAGTAGGACCACTTCCTTTTAGCTCAAGAGGTTAAGAAATACTATTTTATAGATTAATTTCGGTATTACTACTACTACTACTAGTAGTAGGGCTACCAGTACTAGTGTATAGGAGTATTGTTATGGGCAGTGCGACCCCAGTGAAATTCTTCCTCTCTTCCTACGTTGCTCTATGGAAGCAATATCATACTAGTACGACAGTAGTAGGATTAAGGATCTTGATGGTAAACATACATTTTGTCATTCCAAAAAGAAGCAAATACCACTAGTGCAGCAGGGCCAGCAGATTTTTGTCTTCTTGTTTCTTGCCACAACCTGTTTTCTCCTCTGCTCTGCCCCCAACATTCTTGTCCATGAGAAGAAGAAATACAATTTCCCTACTACTCTGAGCAACCCTGATTTCTTATCATACCTGCTGGTGTCCACCACTGCTTCCTCCTCCAACAAGAAGTCCAAGAACACATGAATCCTCCTCCTCTACTACTACTACTACTAGTAGTAGTAGTACTATCATGTTTCTTACTACTATTACTAGTACTACTACTACCACCAGAGAAGATTACCAGCACCACAACCAGAAATGCTGCTGCCCACTACTACAAATGGTGATCTACTACAGGAAGACAACAACAACAAGTAAGGAGGCAACATTCATCAGCATGATGTCACTCCTCCTACTACTAGTAATAGTAGTAGTAGTACCACCACCAGCACTACTACTAGTGCTAATACTACTAGTGCTACTACTACTAGTACTACTACTCCTACTACTAGTAGTACTAGTACTAGTAGTAGTAGTCATTCTTCCACAGCCAATACCTACTACTAGTAGTAGTATCATCTCATCAATCAGTGCTTTACTGCAATGTTGTGAGTGTTGTTTGTTATTCTTACTATTACTACTACTAGTAGCAGTGTTCAGACAATCCATTTCCATTACTTGCCTTTCTACTATGAGGACAAAGTATGAAATACCCTTAGGTGTAAAAGTTCAAATTCTAGATTCCAGATTCCGTATCGTAGGATTACCAACAAATAGAACATTCGTCCCGTATCGTACCGTACACATCGTAGCACGTTAGACAACTATGGTAGCGAAAGGTAGAATGGTATCGTACATAAGGTATGTATCGTATGGAGCAGCCCCTTCCATTCCTTCATTGGTTTCTTCGTTGCAGTTCGTCCTTTCCGAAGTGCCGGACCATGGACTGTACGGTACGTAAGGTAGCAGCTATGGTACGGCGCAGAGGGAGGACCAGCAATGCACCGCGCGTTTTTTCTTTACTTACGTCAGAATCGAGGGGATCGCGCGACACCGTCTTGCCGTCTCTTCAACAAAGTTGAACTGCGAACAACGAAGATCGCAAGATTGTGCGGTGTGGTGGTTTTGATCTTGAATTTGGAACGGGCGCAAGGAATGAGTGTATCGTATCGTGCCGTGCCGTAGCATCTGCCTGACCCGTCCCCCGGAGAATAAAGGCAAGAACTTGTACGGAAACTCATCAGAAGAAGGTTCTGGTACTCGTTTGTCGTAGCCGCGCGTAGTTCGGAGCACGTCGTCGTCATCCGAACTCCCTTCTTTTCCCCATCTTCTCGCGTAGTCTTTCACATATTTTTTGAAATACAACAACTGATCTACAATATATTCCACCATGAAGTCTGTTATCGCTCTTTTCGTCACCCTCCTCGCTACCGCTTCGGCCTTCGCCCCTGTGCAACAAACTGTTGGTGCGTAACAAAAATGCAATCGGAATCGTCGCAAATATCTCGTAGGATGAAGGCGCAGAACGGCTTTGTTATTTCGGAATCGGAGGCATGAACCTTTCGGCTCAGCTTCCGATCGAGGCTATCTCCATCTAAGGACAGAGCGATTTCACTGTCGAGTACACAAGAAATTGCACTGCATCTTGCTATGAAATGGAAATTCAAGTCACAGTGGAAATCGTCCTCTACTCAAATACCATGGCGCTTGAAAGAATATATAGCACATGGCAAAAAGAAAGACTATGTTCCTCGATGCAGTGAGAATGGACGAACGAAGCACGTTCACGTCGAACTCTGTGGTGGTATCACTCTTGTCGAAGTATTGGTTTTCAACCCTTGTTAACTCACCCCTTCTTTTGTTTTTTCTATCCAACAGCCCGTGCCGCCACCACTTCTCTTTCCATGGCCGCCCAATCCCCTGAATTGAAGAAGGGCATGATCGCCGCCATGGGAGCCGCCGTCCCTACCGTCTTCTCCTCTCTCGCCACCGTTGCCACCGAGGGTACCTCCGAATGGTTCGGTGTTGACGACACCCGTCTCTTGGCCGTTCTCTTCGTTGTCCACTGGGCCATCCTTACCTTGTGGCTTCAACAATACGGAGATGCCGATGAGGACGAAGATTTCTTCGGAGAAATCGACTACACCGGAAACTAAATTATCTCGATTCAATTTAGTCAGATGGAATAGAATGGAAGCAAACAATGCCGTCTGTTTCCAGAAAGTTTTCTAGACATACCACAGCACACCACAGTCCAAGCGTTTTCTGACGTGATTGCCAGGGAGGAAAACAAACCAACTGCATGCTTCCGATGCCGATGGGAACTCGGCGCAGTGGTCCAGTTTGTCCACGCTATAGTAATAGAGGATAGATCGCGAACACCGGAATGTAATTACGTATAGCAATTGTTGTCGTACCCACTCGAATTTCTATAAGACAGTAAGCGTGAAGAGCACGGTAGCAACGACGTAGTTGTGCGTCGAGAAAACGAAAACTTTGTCTCGTCCCATTTGAGTTCCGGTTGAAGCTTGTCGTGGTGAGGACAACGGTTGACAATCCGAAAGTCTACGTTTTTTCGCATTCTTCTCCGCCCGCTCCAATCTTACTCTTAGCTTGTCTTTGAACAAATCGCATCGCTGATGCATTCGTCAATTCCAATAGTGGTTTCCTCAGCGGCCCTATCAGTACCACCACCAACCTCATCACTCGTACTTGTACTCATTATTTGGTAAAAGTAATTTATAGTACGGTAGTAGCACCTTCAGAGGTCAGCAACTTCTCGCACCTATGATGCAAAGTGTCTCGGTACTATCAAAACTACCTCTGAGAGTACAAGGAAGTAGGACGATGTCCCTAGTATGGGACTTTCCCTATTTCGGAAGCTTCGAATTCTAGTCTTTCTACATCACATAATTATCATGCGGTACGTATTTCGTAGTGCGGACTGTGCTCAAGGCTTGATAACTTTACAGGCTTGCGCCCTCTACTTTGTGACAAAAGTTGTGGTTGTACGTTGGACGTTGGACGTATTTTACAAACCAAACAAGTTCACGTTTATAATACTATCGCGGATCCAGTGGATGCCAGCACTGCCAAGGGCATGTGCAAACCTTATGATACGAGTGAATTTGTTCGCAGAGTCCCGTATCAGCGTCCGCATCGAGCAAGTCGCATCAGCCGGCGTCCGTATTCAAGCAGCATCCCCCCTGTAGTTATTCAGTGTCGTCCTCCGTCCTATTCAGTATCCCGTGTAAATCAGTGTCCCTTCCATGCTATCCAGCACCGTTCTACCCAGCATCCTCCTTATTCCTGTCTCTTTCCATGTCCATAATTCTGGTCCTTCCTCCGTAGTATCCAGCGTCCTTCTTCTCCATACTGTGTAGCCTCCCCGCCCCCCCGAACCCCCCCCCCCCTCAGAATTCCGCTGCATGTAGCAACTTGTAGTAGCATCCTTCGTATCAGCGCCCGTATATAGCGCTCGTCACCGTAGACGGTACTAAGCAACTCGTATCAGCATCCTCCATGTTAGCAGCAACTCGTATTGGAATTTCCCCCCCCCTCCCCTCCTTCGTAGCCATGATGGATCCGAACCAATACTGATGTAATTGTAGATATATTCAGCATCCGTATCCAGCGTCTGTATTCAGCGTCCGTATTTAGCGCCTGTATTCAGCGTCCGCATTCAATCGTAGACTGTATCAGCACAGCGTCCTCTGTATCAGCAACTCGTATCGGCAAGTTGTGCGGGCATCCTCCGCGCAAGCGTCCTCCGTATCGGCAACCAATTGTCCGTAGCCGCGACTCGCATCGGCGTCCTCCGTATCGGCAACCACTCGCCCATAGCATAAACTCGCATCGGCGTCCTCCGCATGATCGGCAAGTCGTCCGTATCGGAAACTCGCATCGGCACCCGCAATGAGGCGATTCATGGCCAGTTTCAGTCAGGGTGGGGTATCTCACCGCAAAATTGTAATGGTAGAATTGTATGTAATCAGTGCAATATTCACAAATTGTGGTGCTGTTGGTTGTTGGCAGAGCATACTCGATACTCGTACCTTTTTCCTGTTCGTAAGCGTACCGGTAGGTATGTATTAGATACGTACTCGTACGAACGATACGACTTACCCCAGAAAATCCGAAAACAATGCGCACAGGCATCTTCAATCTGATTGGCTCTACTGGTTCGTATGCGTACACTACGTACTCGTATTTTCAGTATCCCACAATTCGTAGTATTTTATGCAATCGAGATCTACGGGCTGTACAATTCAATACTTTACGTACGTACGTAGATACGGTACTTCGATAGCGCAGTTTGTGTGTATCAAACCGATACGGTTCCGAAAAAAACCGCAGAACTTCGTTTTTTCCCGGAAGTACTACCAACATGCTGGTGCTCCCGCGCAATAAATCGCACTCGGATGACACGATGGATGCGAGCTGACACTTGCGATTGCGATTGCGAGTACGTGCCTTACAGTAGCGTATCATACGCAACGTACTACGTAACTACTGACGCTTGGTGGATGGCAATTTGTTCTACTCACGTTTCTTCTAACAACGCATCTCGATTCGGCTTTTAGGAACAAAAGCAATACGGTACCAGTTACCATACGCCTGTCGACCACAAGCACGGCATCAATCCCAAGCGTTACGTGCCATAGATGTAGTACGGTACGAGATACGAGATACAGCAAGTTCCAAACCAAAAACTGTATCCTGCTGGGTGTCGGATTCTCATAAAACAAATCTTGCGACTCACGGTTGGAGGCTGTCGCAACAACGTCTCGTCACGTCACGTCACATCACCTTCTGCTCTTGTCCAGTCTGCAAACAAAGGAACCGAACGATCGCCGTCACGGAAAGGAAACGCTCGCGTATCTTACCGTACTTCTTGCAACCATCACACACGACACTCCCTACTCGATCCGCAAACGGAAGAGGACAAGGACCAACGGGCAGCAATCCCATCTCGAAGAGCATACCCCAAGAGACCGCAACTCAGGTGAATCGGTCCAACGCGACTCGAATCGGCTCGAATCAACCCAACCCAACCCGACCCGACACCGGTTCGATGACCATCTCTGCACGGCTGCTGTCTTTCGTTTTGGCCGCCCTCGCGGCCCCACAAGGATCTTTGGCCTTTTCCCCGCAACGGCCGATGCACGTCTTTGCCGAGGCATCGGGCCGCCCCCTCCCGAACGAAAGCCTCGCTCCGAAGGCGCTCCCTGCCGACGACGACCCCGGGGCAAGAGTCCTCTCGGCCGAAACGGGGGAAGCCCCCTCCCTTCCAGCGTCCACCCGGGCCCACGCGCTGGAGGTCTTTGGGCGCTTTGCGAGCCGGGAACACGGGGGCCAGAAGTTCGTCGCGGACGACGGGGCCCTCTACCACATCCTCCGGGGCCTCGACATCGAGGCCAGCGAGGAGGACGCGGCCATCGTCTTCCGCTACCTCGACTCGGACGGGGACGGCCGCCTCGAGTTCGAGGACGAGTTTCTCCCCTGGTACCTGGAGGCCGTCGGCGCCGCCACCGGCGTCTCGGCGGGCTTTCGGAGCCTCCTGGTCGGGAGGCGGACCGTCGAGGCCTTTGACGAAACCCCCGTCGACGACGCCGTCCTGGAGCGGGCCGTCCAGTGCGCGATCGCGGCCCCCAACCGGTCCGGCTCCGAGCCGTGGAGGTTCCGCAAGGTCGGGAGGGAGACCGTCCGGAAGCTGGCGGCCCTCCACAAAGCCAGGGACGGCAGCAGCGAAAGCACCGGCTATACCGACTGGGAAAGCGTGGCGCCGGGATGGTGCGTCGTCACGAGGACGGTGTCGGCGGCTTGCGGCGAAAAAGACGGACACGAAACCGAGAGTGGTGGCCTCCGGTCCGAGGCACAGCAGGACTTCAAGTCCGTCTGCTGCTCCATACAGAACTTTATGCTCAGCATGTGGAGCGAGGGCATCGGGACCAAGTGGACGACGGGCCCTCTGCAAACCACGACCGAGTTCGCAACGATCTGCGGGATCGACACGGAACTGGAAGCCGTGGTGGGGATCATCTGGTACGGTTACGCGACCGGGGGAACCAGGTACGCCGATCCGAAGCGACGAAAACTCGGGGTGGGCGACGTTCTCGGATACCTGCCGTGAAAGGAAGGAAAGGAAAGGAAAGGAAAGGAACCGAAAAGGAACCAAGCCGCAACMAGCGCCACAACGTAACCACAACGTTGCTATCCACTACGACGAAAACGCAGAGCACCAATCTCATATAAACACAATGATAAATTCCAATTATTTCACTTTTAAAGAATTGTTCAGGTGCACACGTAGTTCCACATTGCTGGCCTCCTCACAAACAAAAGTCACACTTCTTGGGACACAAATCCCTGACCAGTTTTCCTTTCTTCACCTTGGTGTCACAGGTTGGCTGTTGGTCTTTGCCCACATTCTTGCACCGGAACTTTCCCACAAAGTTGCTGTGACCAGCCTTGATCCGGAATGAGGTTTTCTTGTCCTCGCAAACGCACCGACGGTTGCAAACCCCTGGGCAGGCCTCCTTGACTTTCTTCCTCCTGCTGCACATTTTCTTCTTTTTTTTGCTGCTGAAATCTTCCAGTTCCGCGCAGGTGAAGGTTTTGCCCTTCATTTCAAAACTCTCCTTAGTGGTGCAAACAGGGAAGATGTCTGGACCTGGAGCTGGCGGTGGCATTTCTTCAGGACTCGGAGCGGGGGTTGGAGGGACCGTTTCACGACATTCGTCGAGACACCGGGGTCCTCTCCCTACGCAATAGTCGGTGCAAGAGGCACCGCAGAATTCACTGTCACCTTGACACCAGGGTCCTACAAATGAAATCGGATACCATGCTCCTCGGGGACAACCACTGTTTTTAAACATACCGCTCACGCTAACAAAATCAGGAGTCTTGCTGGCCCATGTGGTGAGGCACTGATGGAAACTGGTTGCCATATTGAACATATTGCTCATGTCTGTCACGCTTGAGACATCCCAAATGTCAATGGGCTGGTTAAAAGCACTTTGAGCAAACATAACACTCATGTCTTTTACTCTCGAAACGTCCCAATTGCCAAGGGGTAGGTTGAAGGTTTCCGCTCTCAAAAACATCGCAGGCATGTCCGTCACGCTTGACACATCCCAACCACCAATGAAATGGTTGAAAGAATATTGGTCGTGAAACATCCCCATCATGCTTGTCACATTTGATACATCCCAGCAGTATAGGGGCTCATCGAAAGGTTTGAAAATCACACTTTCAAACTCATCAAGGAAGGCGAAGTCCATGCTGGTGATGAGCGATGTGTCCCAACAGTTTATTGGAAGATCATACGGGCATTCGTCCGGTAAGTTATGGCACAAGCCTATGAGTTCTTCAAAATCACCAGATTTTATTACAGGTCGTTCGTTGGGGCAAAGGTCAGAGCAAGGGACATAGCAGAATTCGCTTTGTGTTTGACACCAGGGTCCTCTATCTGGATCCACATCCAATTGCCGCTGTGGACAACCACTTGAAAAAACCACATCTTCCACGTTAACATCCACAGGAGTCTTGCCGACCCATGTTGAGATGCATTGGTTGAAACCGGTTGCCTCACGCAACATCTGACTCATGTCTGTCACGCTTGAGACATCCCAAATGTCAATGGGTTGATTGAAACTAAAAGCCCTGGAAAACATCAGGTTTGTGTCTGTAGCGCTTGACACATCCCATTTGTCAAGTGGCTGGTTAAAACTGCCCCTCGCGTAACTCTTGTTTGTTTGTACGTCCGTGCTGTTGAGAATCGTGTGCAATGTTCTGTACTAGAGCGCACGAGTGTGCTTTCTGCATCACTAGAATAGTTTTGTTGATTCGATCGAGACTTTGCCACTTGCCAGTCTGGTTCAGGTTTGGCTCTCGTTAGGGCCTGGCCTATCGCTTGTGGTCCGATAAGTTCGCCGCCAAGATTCCATCCTTATGCTACCTCAACGGACTATCTTGACTTCAATCGTTTCGTTCGGATCGAAATGATATTGAGCTTCAATTCGGAAATGATTTGGTGAACCGCCACCGGGGGTTGTCATAGTTTCGTCATAAGTACTTGGGTGGTTTCATTACTGTTTTCTTCCAAAATGGAGAAGTTGTTTGGCTTACGACTCCTTGGACGCTTCCATTAGTATTGGTCTCAGGCTATCCAAATCTAATTAATACAATCCTGTCGGAAACATTGCCCACAGCGATCAATGCCATAAGCGCAGTTGATGACAAAAGGACACAGCGGATTTCGAAACAACAGAGACTAAAAATCGACACAAAGAATTGCTTGGAGCAATCGGGGCTTACACGTAGCGATTGATTAAGGAGTTGCCATTGGAGATTTCTCATCGCTTGAGAAATTCTCGTCTTAAAATATTGGTCACCACTCAAGCTCTAACGTTCAGTGCCTCGCCCCAATTTTTGCCTATTCATTTCCTTGACTCTCAATCGCCTCTGAATCGGATAGCCAATTACTGCGCTGTACGTACTCCGGCAGTCATGGGCGAAATATTGAGCGTTTTTTCGTTGATAAGGATTGCGTCGAAGTTGGATGATTCGTGCAACAATTAGAATGCCATGCCTCTGTCGTAGAGTTTACACATGGTTGGTTGGTGCGACGCTCCGACCTGCCAATTCCACTGCTGTAACTGATCAATCCAAGATCGATCTCTGTAGCCATTTTCAAGTCAAGTACTGCGTCTTCATCGGAATCACGAATGAATGACCAAGACTGACTATGGCGAAGAAAGCTACAGTCACGGTCTGTTGTTTCATGTTTGGGATTGTTCTTTCTCTAGCTTTCGGGTTGTACCCTTTTCAAGACATAACGAAGAGAGGGAGTGGAGTTTGTCAAAATTTGACGTTTTCCCTCGTCGTTAGGAATGCACACGATTCTCTTGCAATATCACATCCGCTGCCCTCTTAACCGTCATAGTTATAGCCATGCTTGCGATGATGATGTGAGTTCATGGCAGCCTCGACTGCAGTTCCAGGTTGAAATCCAAATCCCTCTGTGCGAAAATCGACAATGGGAAGTGCGATCACCTTGACCAGTGCATAAACTCTAGTATTTCTCAATTCGAGTGGCGGCAACGGAAGGAGTTGGATTCGGTGTTATACATCTTTTATCGCGCCCACCAAGCCTTTCCACGAATTCTCTCTTTTTGGCTATCAACGTGATGTATGTAAACATGTTGCTATGCGATGAGACTGGCACGCTGGTCAAATAGGCATTGGCTTCAGTCTGATGGTTCCCCGTCGATAGGCATGGTGTGCCACCACACTCTTCTGTACACCAAAGTTGCGAGTTTTTACGATTCCTCACAACTCATCTCTCCGTCGATCACCAAAACATTTATCAACACCGTGGATCCGTTGCCTTCTCCCCCCTAGGTATTCCAGGAAGGAAAAGTCAAAGCATCGGTCACGATGGACGGTTTGAAATGTACAACTTATCCTCAACCTTTCTTGCTTTGGAGATCATTCACGCTTTGCAGAGGTGATTCCATGGAAAATAATACAATTGCTCGTGCACAGGGCGTCGATATTGGCAAGCCTTGTGAAATGCAGCACAACGGTGTGGTTTATTCGAACTGTTTGTGTCCCGCTGCTACCTTCCGGCGGTCCAAACGCTTCTTCCTTTGGTGGCTCCTTCGTTTGGCGACGGCATTTGGACGACCATCCTTGGTCAGTCAAGAATCCGATTGGTCCAAACCGGATCACAACCCTGTCGGTTGGGGGGGGGGCGGTCGTCCCGGCTTTGTATCGGGGGTCCGAGGAAGTTTCTTGTGTGCTCTGTGCTGAGCTCCCGTTGCTGTCAACCCAGCCGTCTTCTGGTCCCTTCGTTTCTGAAATGGATGCGATTGTCTCTGGACACAAACGGACACTTACATCGTTTTAATACCCGCGTGGTTCCATGGATTTGGATGTGCATCGATGCGGTCGCATGTCAAGCACTACTCGGGTAAGACATTTGAGCGAGCGATTTCGGTATTGGCCGCATCTGCCGGTGTGCACGAGATCGAATGATACTGAACAGCGTGCTAATGCTTCGGCTTCCACTCAGTAATGTGTAAACCGGTAAATAGGTCATCGTGGTGTGACGTGATGAGGTCTTGAAGCCATTCTCACTTGGACATTGCCCTTCGAGTTAATGGAGCTATTGAAGGGCACGGCATCAGTTGTTGAATTGATACATATACCACTTGAGCATTAGCATTTGCTCACGCTGGCGGCAAGAAAATTGAAAAAGGATTTGGTCATGTACCGTAGCTGTTAAATTGTATTTCCAAATTTCACCTCTCGTCCTCTGTAGTACTCGATTAGAAGACCTTTCTTGTTCCATGGCAGAATAGAGAACACAAATCTAGGGATCATTCCTACAACGACACATTTTTCCTTGAAGCAAGAATTCAGCGTCGCTCGAGGTTTTTATCGAACACTAGGTAAGGTCTTTCGATTAATGCTGCATGGTCATTGCCATCAAATTTGTGCTGTTCCGCAAGACTGTGAAACGAGCCCTTCGGCCTTCTTTCTCTTATAACAGGGACATTTCCATCATCATCATCATCAGTCAGTCAGTCAACAAAAGAGATCCAGTCTACTCAACCCATGAAAGGACCTGTACACATCAATCATCGCAGCCGCGTCTTGATCCCAAGAGGGATGCTGTGCTGCCTTCGGATCGGCCTTGTCTTTCGAGGAGCGGTGGAGCATGATTTATTTTGTGTGCGATCTGTTCGTTCTCTTTGTCCGTTCCGGGAACGCCGTGCCCGAAAGTCGTTTTTGGTGGGATTGGATGGATTCCGACGCGGCTTCTCGCCATCGGATGCGGTTCTTTCCGAATGCGATGCTCCATGGGCAGCAGTTGCCATCCAAGAGGTCTGAGGATGGTAGATGGGTTGGGTTGAATTGAGTTGAGGTACCGTACGGTACGGTATGCTCGGATGCCTACCGGTAGATCTTTTGGAGATTTGAGATCTTTTCCTTGTATCAATCAAACGCGCGTGTAAAATGCCCTGTCGGGGAATGGATCCCGAATATCGTGGTGTTTGGTAACCCAACTTGCAAAGTGAATGCTAGTACTACTAGTAGTACTACTACTAGTTTGCACTGCCTGCTGATATGGAAGAACCTGTCAACTGGAACTGAAACCTACTACTAGTAAGCACTAGCATTCACTTTGCAGAGAGCCAGGATTCATCACAATGCTGGTAAGCTCATCTCCCCAGTGGATTCCTCAAGTCTAGTATTGCAAC